GTCTACTGTGAGTCTTTAGAGTGTTTCTGTTTATTTGCTGAGTTTAACATATTGGAAAAAAATAAAACATAAAATATAAAAAGGGGCCAACATTTTTGCATTAGCCATATTTTATGTTTTATTTTTCTTTCAAGCATGTTAAATTCAATTCAATTCAAAATTTGTAGAAGTGTGTTCTTTGTGGAGGATATGTTTACTTATTTTCACTAAGAAAATCAATGAAACGGCATTGGACCAGGGGCACCCAAACTTTTGCATGCGGCTGCAGCATAATCAAGCTTATTGAAGTTTATTTGAAAATCCCAGTAAGCCCAGTTATTGTTTTATTGTCTATTATTGTCCGTTGTACTGGACTGTAGCTGCACATGCTTGAAAGTTGGAGTTCTGTAGTTCAGTTTTTAGTTGTAAACGCTTCAATGTATTTTATAAGCCTTGCACACTTACAGCTTTTTAAAGAACAAAATGTAGAGAAATGTGACTTTTAATTAGCAGATTAGCAGATTTAAACATATCGCTGCTGTTGGAATAAAACCTCGTAGCTCCATTTTTGTCGTTTTTCAGCTTTTAACATAATTTGAAAGTACCTGTTGGCCTTTACATTGTGTGTAAATTTCATGATGAATGGACTAAAAGAAATGGCCCAAAATTACTTGGAAAAAAAATTGGTTCTATTGACTTACATTAAAAGTAAAGTATGTTTTCTCTTTCTCCTGTAAAGTTACCATTTTGGAAATATGAGGTTTTGTTCCGACAACAGCGATGTGCATATATGCTTCCATTTTCAAATATCTTATTGATTAATTCTGAAGTAGAATTAGCAAGTCTGTAAGGTTTAGCTGTGACAGCACACAATGCAAGCCCATCATGTAAACAGTTGCTAATCTTAAATAAATAAAATAAAAAAACACAAATCCAGTAGTTTATATCTAATGATTTAATAACTACAGATAAATATAACCACCAAAGGAGTTTTGGAGTATTTGTTTTTAGGTAATAGCCCAGACTTTACAGGCTGCCATTGAACAAAAGGGCAGTAGCATATCTAAAGGTTGAAATGGGTAGTAAAATATCTAATGCCTGAGCAGCACTGTTGTATAGGTACTGCATTTAATCTCTATTCTCTATTATTCACCTCTTTGTTCCATGCAATTATGTAAAGTGTTTCTTTAGTACTGCAAGTGCAGCCATTTTGAAAATATTTCATATCAAAAGTGCAGGTGGGCTTCTAGGGTATGTGGGCTTGTTGGGGATTTTCCCCTTTATGTTTGATACATACACTCATATTTGATACCCTTATGTGTCATCTGTGACACGTCTTGTGTGTTTAATGTCTGTGAACATGTGTGACCTTGGATTTGCATGTCCTTGTGTGTGTGTGTGTGTGTGTGTGTGTGTGTGTGTGTGTCAGATGTATGGTTGAGTCAGTTAGGTGGTTCAGTTGAGGGCCCTCATGTATATTTCAAAGCTCTCTCAGCCTACTAATGCAGCCATGCTGCAGAGAGAGAGAGAAAGAGAGAGATGTGCTGGACTAATGTAAAGAAGTGCAACATCGCTCTACAGTGTGTGTTTGTGTGTGTGTGTGTGTGTGTGTGTGTGTGTGTGTGTGTGTTTGTACATTTGTACATTTTCTGGACAAAAATGTAAGAAACTCTAAGAAAACTCACAATATCAGGACTAGCTAAATGGTCATGTCCTTGCAAAGTACTTTGTTAATTATAAAAAGCTTCATGATTCTATTTTTAATTGAAAGAGTAAAAGATTTCTTTTTGGTTACTGAGCTTATGGTTGGAGCTAAGTTTAGGGTTAGGCTTAGAACATTGGGCCTCATTCACCAATATCTTCATAAGTTTGTTTTTAAATGTGTTCTTGAGAAAGGCCCTAAGAAAAAGCCTACGTCAGATTCATGATGTGTTCTTAAACCACAGAATTGTTCACACCTCTGTGCTCTTGAGTGTGTGTAGATTGTGTTCTTCCCAAATAAGAAAACACTGGTGAATGTCAGAATCTTCGTAAAAACTGTGAAAGTGGGATTTAAGAAGACATTTCTTCTAAAGAACGGTTGGTGAATGAGGCCCATTGTTATTATATATATATATATATATATATATATATATATATATATAGAGAGAGAGAGAGAGAGAGAGAGAGAGAATTACACGCAGTGCTGTGCAAAAGTCAGAGAAAACCCTCTATTTGTTTGATTTCCGGTGGAATGTACAAGTTATTCATGAAGTACAAGTTATTTATTTTTCAGTGTGAGGAAAAAAGAAGCAGAAAACATATTTAGGTATATAGAAATATATTTCAACAACTAAATATAATATAAACCTTTTCAGTATTTGGTGTGTCCATTCTTTTCAGGAGAGGTGCTTTCAGTTTGTCAAAGAAATCTGCAGGGATATTTTTCTACACCTTCAAATTTCAGTCTTAGAAGTTGGTTTGCATTTTCTTTGTTGAGGTCTAAGGACCTGTGGATTTTTCAGATCTGAAGAAAGAGTAGAGCTGGATTTTCTCCTCTCTCTCAAATATGAAAGTTTTAAGTACTGTTTATCTGATGGGGACAGCTTTGATGGTCTACCAGGTCTTGCACGTTTGTTAGGAGTCCCTATTTTATACATCTTTTAATATTTTTTTAACTAATTTTGGAACAGTTTTTCACTTATTTTCTTTGACTTTCCCTTTATTATGCAAGTTATTTTATATTTAATCTACTCAGAAATATCTCCTGAAAATGTAATAACTTGTACTTAATGGCTGTTTCGACTGGATATGAAGGGTGGCTCTGACTTTAGCACAACACTACATTACTTATAAATATATACTGGCATTTTATAAAAATGTGTGTGTGTATGTGTGTGTGTGTCAGTACATAACTGATATTATTTAGGTGTATACTGTACTGTAGACCTTTCTTAGCACTTCTCCCTGTCGCCTCTCATTGCTGGTGTGTGTGTGTGTGTGTGCATGTGTTCTGCTTTTAAAGAGGGAACTGTTCTTGTTTTCCTTTACCTGTGTGTTCTCCTCAAAGTGTACTGTTGTGTGGTAAACATGCAGCCACGTTCCCCCACATGTCGCTCTCACTCTTTCAAGCTAACAGAGCTCAGAAAAGACAGAGAAAGAGAGTGAGGAAAAAAGGAAGAAAAGAATGAAATGTGGGTGGAAAAAAGCTGTTGTAGTTGCACTTCTCTTGAATGCCTGGTCCCTTTAAGCCAAATATGACAAGCTTGACTGACTGCTTATGACACAGTTATAAACCTGACTTGATATCTTTTACTAAATGTGTCCATTTACTCACCGTTCACTTCATCACAAACAGCTACTCTATACTTTCATTCACTGGTCACTTTATGAGCTCCACCTTACTTACAGGTAGCCCACACTTTACTAAAAGGGTTGAGCGATGCCATAGACGAACCACTGTTTCTGTAAAGAAGAGATGTGTTAGGCCAAAGAACTTCAAAAGATTTAAAGACACTTCACATGATAAAAAGGTTCTTTGCCAGTTTAAAGACTTCTTCCAAAACCTTCATATTATGTGGAGCTTCTTTAAGATGTGAAAGGGGTTCTTCACATTCACACAAATGGTCCTCTAAAGAACCATCCACTGAAAGGCTCCTTAGGGAACCAAATGTCCTGCTTATCTGTCAAAAGTCATTTATCTGTTGATGCATAATCTCTACCCCCTTCATCACTGGTCAGTTTCTGACCACAGGATCGCTGTTGTCCAGATATTATTTGGGTAGTGAATCATTCTCTACACAGCAGTGACACTGACATGGTGGTGGTATGGTAGTGTGTGGCGCTGGTACGAGTGGATCAGACACATCAGATGGTGTTGCTGGTGTTGCACTACTAGGTTGAGAGTGGTCCATTATCAATAAATATCCAGCCAAGGGCAGCTCTGACCGCTGATGAAGAGCTAGTGGATGACAAAAAAAATGAGCTCTAGCCTCTAACTGTATATGAACAAGGTAGAAGTTTGTGATAAAGTGGACAGTGAGTGTAGAATGTATTAAGAACATAAATGCTATGATAACCTAATGAAGGCGTAATGACCACACAGTCAAGGGAAGTGTGACGGCTATAAGGCTACTATGAAGCTATCCGAGGTTGTCCAGGATAGTCCAATATGAGTAGCAGTAAAAGTATAATAATCTAAAAGTATAATTTTTTACTTTGTTTTATTTTTCATGTTTGGCTATATCATGATGTGGGGTTGCTGATGTTCCAGCAAATTGGTTGCCATGACATCCTTGACAACCTCCAGGCTGGTGGAAGGGGTCAGATGTGTGGCTGTACATGCATCCTCCTTCCCTGTCTGAAAGTAGGCCTGCTTCTCTTCCCCTGGTTGACCGAAACACAACAAGTAGTATTTTGCTACACTGTGTAGCGCCCCCTATAGAGCCAACAATGTTTTACCCACTCCAGGCTTCCAACAGGTATTTCCTTCAACCAGTGGACTACAGTGGACTGTTGACAAGTTCTTGGCTATGAAGGATATAGTGTTCTTATTTTGTTTTGTTGTGGATTGTTGGAAAAGAAATGTATGACATATTTCATAACTCGCATTTTCTTGTTTTGTCCTGTCTTGTCCTGTGTATGTGTGTGTGTGTGTGTGTGTGTATGTATGTGTCTCTTTGTGTGTGTGTCTGTCTGTGTCTCTCCTTTCTGTCTCCCTGCCTTTTATTTCCACATTTGTTTGAGTTCCTCTCATTTCATATCTGCTTCACAAATGTTCAAATTTATGTTCATTCACATTTCCACATATTCCCACTCATGCTTTCTGTCTGCTGTATCATTTCATGCCTCGCCTTTAACTGAAACCTAACGTGCATTCATCTCCATTATGCCATGAATTCTGACCAAAAACAACCCATTTTTTTTTTTTTTTTTATTTGTACCCTAACATTGGTCAAAATGACTAACCCCACTGTAAACCCTGTCCAAAAACAATTCCATGAATAAACCGCCCTCGCTCGAAACGAACACTGGCCTGGCAGCCACGGGCTACGAGAAATCTCGCAGCCTGAACAACATATCGGGAATGGCGGGGTCGTCGCTGCGTCTAACCCCCATCACCAGCACGCCTTATGACCCCTACGAGGCCCCCGGACCCCTGCGCCGCTGCCGCTCACCCATCCCCTCCATTTTGTAGCCAGGAGTGCGTAAAAAAAAAGAACACACAACCGCTAGAACTCAGGACAGGAGAACAGGAGGAGAGGAAGACAGGATGGAGGCCATGTGTGCAGTGTGTGTGTGTGTGTGTGTGTGCGAACCGAAGCTCAGTCTCACACTCAAACCCATAGCAATAACCACCCAGTGTTCCTGAATGTAGAAAGAAGCTCCGCCTCCTCACCCTCTCCGCTCACAGCTTCAGGTGCATGCCTATAGTAGTTGTCCTGGAGAAGATAAGTACTCTGTACTGTATTTAGTAGAATTACAGAAGAAAAGAGTGGGTTGTGACCGAAGGACCGATGTGAATTTTTTATGAGGTTAGCTGAATGAATATAGATTCAAATATGCAGATTAACCAGATTAAGTTGTGAGCCTTAGAGAACAGTATGTGTGTATGTTAATATACCGTAGCTATTTTTCCTCACACCATTGTTATGAGTAGACGGAGATATAAAACAGGCTGCCAAAGAAAGAATAGAAAGAATGCTGCAAGTATGAAGGAAGTCAAAATAACTCGTATTTTATTAACCTCATCCTCACATTTCAATTTCCTAATATTCCTCATATTCCCTTTTGGACTGAACAACGCACACCAGTCATTTTAATGCAATGAATACACTATAATATATAAACATTATGCAAGTTTTTTTTCATGAGATAATAACATGTTAATGCAAAATTTAGTGTACTCTTCAACTATAAGCATTAAATTATAGTATTTTTCAAACTGTATTATTTTGGTTTAAGGTTAACAGTCTAGTAAGTCGATAATATACTCACATATTTCGGCAGATAGTTATATGTTGTTTTGCAAATCCTGTAATCTCCTAAACATACACATTGCCCAACCTTAAGGAAGCTAAAGACCTATTTTTGTTTGAATGCTGCTAATGGCTCTTTTGTTTTTTTTCAGTTTAGCCTTTTTTTAATGCTTTGATTACTGACATGCTCACAGCTCCCTTCATACATCATGTCCAGATGTTCTTTTCCTGCACATTGCTTGTACAATCTGAAACCACCAATGCCATAATGCCCTCAAGTAAGTCCAAAACTCCAAGTTGTCTTTATTTCATTTCCCCATCATGCATGCTCAGTGTTCAGTCCCTGTCATGGTCTTTAGGGTGAAACTGAAGTTAAAACAGGCGAGGAATTGTTTTAATCTGCAATGGTGATGTCACCCATCTACACGTATATGCAAAATGTGCAATATTCCACTCAGACTCATGATGCTGGAAGCATACTTCACGCGCACGTGTTGTTTGTAAATATGTGTGCAGAAAAAAGAAGATATTTTTAATGGAAATAAAAATGATGATCAGTGTATGAAGTAAATATGCTGATTCTAAGACTATATACGGCAACTCTAGAGCATTCCTGGTTTGTTGGTCTTTGTCCTTGTTGATGTCCTGTTGTTTTATTGATATTTTGAATGTGTTTCAAAGATGATTGTTTTTATTTTTAAAAACATTAATTTTTACCTCACATTGTTTCATTTGTATATGATATATACATGAGTGTTACGAATCTGTGTTTCTTTACAGTAGATAGAAAAATCTAGAAAATATTCAGGTCTATTTGACCAAGTGCTTCCAGAATAATAAAGAAAAGAGAAGAAACTAAAGTAATAAAGCCATTTCTGAGAAAATGCTTCCTTGGAATAGTGAGAAAAAGAAAAATAATATATTGCAATAATTGCAAATTGTAGCTATAGGTTATAGGTGACTAACTGTGTATTATCATTAAATGTTATTTAGTTTCCCAATGGAGAATCAGCTGATTAGCCGACACTGTAGACATGCAGAAAGGAGCCATTTTGTTTTAAACATGGCACCTGTCACAGCAAAGACGGGCCACGGTTTTCCCAAACTGATGCAATGGGGACCTTCTCCTTCAGTTTTCCCAGCCTAATATGGAGATCTGATACTGTGACGGGAAATACCTCAGTGTGTTTTATGGGTGATCTTAAGATGCTCTTAGTGCAGTAGTGATTTCCGGGGACTGCCCGCACTTCCTTACAACAGGAGTCCCGGACTGGCAGGGCCTGTAAGAGCTCCTTTTAATGCTGTGAATCCAGAGGTTAAGGCATCTTTTTTCACTAACAAAGTCTTACTGTTTATTAGTTATTGATCTCTAGTGATTAGCCAGACAGGAGCTTTACTCTCCTGATTGATAATGGTCTTCTCCATGTGTGAGCATCCAGTCAATGTCCACATATATATAAATAAATATTGTCCTGTTATTGTAGTATGTAGTTGTACAAACTTTTTTGTTTGTTTTAAAAAATGTAGAGAATTGCAAATCTCAATTCTTTGTGTGGAGTGTATTCCATATTGTTGTAACCGATACAACACAGTCAGGACACTTTGAAACGAATCAAACATGTTTGTGTTGACAATGTGTGCTCCCTCTATGAGGCTACTTTAAGCTGCTGTGTTATTCTAGAAACCCATAAACCGCTAGCTAGATTTAACTAGCTTCACCTGCCAACTTTATGTACATATCTGTATCTATACAATATATGTGAATACCCATTAAAAAGATCTGTACTGCATTTCTCTCCATGTATGCTGGTTATTCTGGGAGGTGTCATAGTTGTTCTGTTTGGTGTTTTTTTATGTGTATTTGTGTGAATTCGTACAGTGTTTTGTGTAAATCCTTTGTTGGTGTTTTTTGCCTTGTGTCTGTTTGTGTGTATTTGGTGCTTTGCGGGGACCAGGTTCCCATGTCTTTCCAAAAAAAAATCTTTTTGGTTTCTCTGGTAAAGTTTAGAGTCGTATTTGTTGTAGTACAGCAGAATATAGATACAGAACATGGAAATATCTCAAAAATACATACTTGTGTTCCTGTATTTAGCCTCAACCAAGCCAAACGTCCTCATGCTGATAGGAAGACATGAACATTATGTTTTCAATTGAGGACATTTTGCTGGTCCTTTGCTAACTTTTCCATCAGTTCAACTCTCATAAAAATAACTAGCAAACATTTGCTTTTTGGTTACTGAGGTTAAGATTAGGGTTAAGGTTAGGTTTAGGTGTAGGATTAGCATCATAGTACAGTATTACACAAGTGATGGTCCTCACAAAAGCAGTAATACCAACATGTGTGTGTATTATTTTGACTTTTTATTTTGCATGAAATATCTAAAAAATTTTAGTCCCACTTCTGCACCTTCATATGAACTCATGCTCTTCATTCACATATGCAAACCTGCACATTCAAGTTTTAAATGTGATTTTTTTTTTGTCTGTGCATCTGTGGTGCAAATGAATGAAAATGATGTTTGCAAAAATCAATGTTTAATTTGACTTTGTTGTTCTAAGAATTTCTAAGAAGTGAATAGATTAAACTGGACCTCAAGTAATAGAAATTAAACAAATATACAGTTTTAATCATTAGCGATGTGAGTTCAGCGGAGATTCTCCAACACTCTCCTCTTCACCTTTTTCATCATGTGTTAACAAATCGTAAAGAAAGTAAATCCAATGATACATGAATGACAAACTACAGTTAATAGTGAATTATCTGTTAACAGAACTTTCGCATGCTTAACTTTAACCGCCATCGACAGGTAAAGCCTCCCCAGCTTTCTACTGTTGTCAGTTTTAACTAATAAGTTTCCTTTATCAGTGGTTCTGCATTGTTTAATGAAATTGTATTAAATGTATCTGGGGTGGACTATTCCATTCTTGCTGTTTAAAATGTAAATGTTTGCTGTACTTTAAATACCTTAAAAATCATGGTGTGTGCAGGTTGTATAATCAATGTAACACTGAAATCCAAGGTATAATAACATCATGAAAGTTTAATGTAGAGCATGGACATTGTAACAACATCATTAACGTTTAACTCAGAACAGGACTGGAGTTTTGCACCCCTTTAAAGATACATTACACACTAATGTAAAGTGCATGTTCATTGTTTATAATGTAGGTTTAATATTTTTAACTATTTTTATTTCAGATCATTTTATTATATTTATTATTATGATTTCAAATCAATTCCCCCACCAATATGTACATCACTACTTGTTTTCCATATGGTTTATTTAAGCAACACATCTGATCTTAACATTGTTAGTTTTGAAGTTTTAATTCTTTAATTATATCAAACGCCTGTCATGAGACTCTCTTCTCTAACCTATTGTTTATCTCTTTTGTCCACAGTGTTAAGTTTCTAGCATTCACCGATTCTTTAAAGAAGACGCAGTTAGTCGTTGTTTTCTGAGTTTGCGGACAGAGCCGCATCGTTCCGGATGTGATACGTGAGGAATGTTAGCGTGGCAAGAGGAGGTGACCGGAAGAACAAGGGAATCGAACGTTCCGAGGCTGGATCTTCTCACGGTAACCAAAGCAACCTCTCGGAATTCCGGACCCGCTCCTCTTTCTACGGAAAGACTTCTTACACTGCAGAAAACTGAGTATTTTGCTCACGTCTCGAGAGAATGACTCTTAAAGTAAGAAAAAAAAACGACAACAACAATCAAAAATGAACAAAAACATTCCAAAATGCATTATGTCTGCCGTACAAGATTGAAGCGCCAGGATGTTCCAGATGCCATGCTAATCTGTGGCCTGGAGTTCTGGGAGTGTGTTGTTTTATGTCTGAAAATGATGGACCAAGCTAGAGTAACCATGTAGCATCTCTGCTAACAATTTGTAGCATTTGTTGGTGGGGGAAACTCGCCAGCAAACTTTTTAGAGACTTTGATATTCATTGACAGTTTGCACAGACTGACTAATAATGGCTTGGTCATGCACTAACCTGCTTCAGTACTCCCACCTCTATTAGCATTTCCGAGGTTGTTAGCATACCACTGGATCGTGACCATAGAAAGTAGATTTTCCTCTCCCAGAACATTGACACAGCAGTTGCACATCCCTTTCCTCCTCTCAGAGATTGATGACCTGTGTTTATCAGAGATATGGTTGCTATTCTGACACAGTCTTCCATTGTTTTTTCATTGGTTCAGGAAAGGCAACTTCCAATCATTTACACCACCAGACCAAAGCCCTCCACCGAGACCAAATAAAGTCCAAATGCTTTATCTGAGGACACGTTTCCCGCTTAACGTCTGTACAACGAACCGTTAAGATTTCATTCTCCCTTTCCGTGCGCACAGGTCATCCAATCTGCCAGGTGTAGCAGGACACCCAGTGCTCTCAGACCTCTGCCAAGCTTAAGAGTGACCGGATAGCCGTTGAGCTTGAAGAAGTTCGCATTTCCTGCCCTAAACGTTAATACT